TAAATTATGAACGTAGCATTAAAGTATTAAAAAAAAGTCTGCTCTTAATATGCCGCTATTTATGCACCAAAGGCATTAGTAGTACGATAATGCCTGGAGACCGAACAAGAAATAGATATTTGTAACAGGCTGTGCATTAACATAATATACTAACGTCCATTATTCATACAACATTTTGTTTTTGTTAATACTTTGTAACGCCAAAATTTTCCTGAATTACAAGGTATTTATTATCAAAAATATTGAGAGGCGTTATATATTACAATCTCTCCAAAAAAATCCTATATGGGTATTTTGCCACTGCAAAAATATCTACAAAATAAAATAGTTATTTTTTTTTTCAAAAAAGAGTTTTTTTTTCAATAAAATAGTTATTTTTTTTTTTTTTCAAAAAAGAAAAACTATTTTATTTTGTAGATTTTCTTGCAGTGGCGAAATGCCCATATACGATTCTTTTTGGAGAGATGAATCCGCCACATAGGTATAGACAATTTTAGATTAGAATGTTCTATAAAATGGAGCATAAAATCTATGAGCTTTTTGGTAAGTAGTAAATAACTAGGGTATTTGTTCCTAGTAGTATAAGTACTAGATAATTAAAATATAAATTTAAAGTTTGGTTGTGAAAGTATTTTTTTAATAAAAAAATAAGTAAAATATATAGAATATCAGAAAAAATATGAATTCAAAAAATTCTAATTTGTCTTAGCTTAACAGTATAAAAGTAGCATTTAAACAGGACACCAATAGTACAGAAAATAAAACAGTTTATATCAGAATATAATTTTTAAACTCCTACCCATACTCAGCCATTCATAACATAATTTATGCAATTGTAGATAATCTGATAGATTTCACCATTAATAGCTTATTTCCAGAAGAAAATATTTAAAGCTATTAATCAGGAAACCCACTTTCTCTGTATGTAAATACTTTTGATGTGTGTTATGAGTGTTTTGCAAGTACAGGAGGTGGATTTCATTACTTTTTTTAAGGTGGCACCTTGCTGGTCGCTTTATTTAGATAAATAAATGTTTTTATTTAAATAAATAAAGGGACCGTACTAGCTAAGGATAAAACGTTGTACCGCTTGTACAGCGAAAACAGGTTTGTTGGTAAACAAATTTCTGTCTTGCTTGATCTTGGATTCTACACAAATTTGTCTAGAAAAATAGTTACAATGGTAAATAAAACCATAAATTATCAATTTTAGTACAAAAATTAGGGTTTTTGCTCGAAAACTCTCGAGAGATTTATCTTTAGTCGAGACCAGAAATAAATAACTCAACGCCTCGTGAACTTAAGAAATCAGTTCCATGCGAATAATAGATAATATCCAAAGTCAAATTCCAGTGCAATTCAGACTTTTTTCCGGAGGAATTTTTCGACATTGCAAAACCAAGGACCTTAAACTCGATAATGATTTACTGGAATTTCAACTAAAAAAGTTCATTCAAACAGCTGTAGTCATTACTGCTTTGTACATTTTTTCAATAGTAAGCGTTCGTTGGCCAGTATACTCAACTAAAAAATACTAATTTCAGTTATTTCAGTCTACTGGAAAACAAACGCTTACTTTTGAAAAAATGTACAAAGCTGTAAATACTATAGCTACTATGACTATAGTAAGCCAACATAGACAGAGAATGATCGTGTTTTCTCGTTATCGAAAAACATTGTCACTAAAACAAGAAACCGCCTCAGATGACGCTGTTAATGCCCTTGTATTTCTGAGAGTTTATTTTATAACGAAAAAGCTTTGAATAAAAAATTTGATTTCTTTAGAGGAGTTTGCAGCTTACTGGTATAGTTTTAGTTGGCATACTATGCTCAAATTTAAATATTACTATTGAAAGCTAATAAGGATTTGTTTAACCTTTTATGCCTCTATTATTGGAAATCAGCCTTTCCAGTAATAAAAAAAACAATCCTGAAAAATATAAATAGTTTTGATAGTTTATAAAAGTTTCTACTGGAAAAAAGCTATTAAAGGTTACAAAATCACCAGTTATGATGTTTTTGATGCTAAATTTTAATTAATATATAATAATATATAATTTTTGCTCTTTCAATAAGATACAAAGGTTCGTAAATATCAAATTAAAAAAATACGTTTAAATAATTACATTTAACTTACAAAGCGATTCTGACAGTTTAATATACAACTACTTAGTAAATTATCTACTTCGGTATACAAAAAATTCATCCGTATACAAATCGTATATCTAGATAAATTCAGTATTAAGACGGATCAAGATTAACTCTACTTGTTACTTATTAACCTAAATGTAATTTATATTCATATTTACACATTGCAAAATAATTTTAAGTGTGCTGTGCTGTGTATAAAATTAGATGACAGAAGGTCAATTGATTTGCAATCGCAAAATTCAATAGGTCTAAAAAAGAGGGATGTCTTCTACGAAAAACAATATGGTGGCAAAAATTTCCTAGAAACTTAAAAACATTCCAATTACCTATACTTACATAAAATTAACCAAAAAATTTCTAAAAAATATTTGGATAAATGGAAATGAAATCTTTAAATAAAAACGTTTCAAAATCTATCACATATTTTTTTGCAGATAACATACGGAATTCGGATGCCTGATAACGGCTTGTATTTTATGTAATTTTTTTTTAGATGTCGGCTATCGAAATATTCCCTGACTCGTTTTACTAAAAATGCAGTTTATAAATAAATGCAGGACTTTGTGACAAGATTTTATATTAGAAATTGTAACAATACAATATAGTTTCTATTATTATTAGTAGTAACAATATAACCTAGTTTATATCTTTACCTCAATTTTAATCCCTTGAAAATATTTTTTAAACCCTAACTAATAATACACTCACAGGCACGAAAATCGGACACCGGATGATTTTTAAGCGATTTTTAGCTAAATTATTTGACTTTTTATGTATCTCTTTCTATATTAAAAATGACAGTTGCCATCTGTCAATTATACGAGAGAAAAAAAAAATATTATTTTGATGACTAATATTTTTTTTATAATTTCTTTTTTTTTAATTCTTTAATAATGCGTATTCTGAATTGGGAGAAACTTCTAGTGGCGTACCTCAAGGGAGCATTTTGGGGCCTATATTGTTCTTGATTTATGCTTTTGACTTGCCTAAAGCAGATGAGCGATGTCATATACACTTGTATGCAGATGATGTCCAACTGTATCTAGACTGTTCCATTGAGGGGGCTCGGGACACTATAGATGTTATCAACAACGACATTCGCATGTTCTCAGACTGGTGTAGTGAACATGGATTGAGAATAGATCCAACCAAAACTATGGCTATTTGTATTGGCAATAAAAAAACTAACACATATCTTACGTCCAATTTAAATTTAAATATTGATAATGTTATACTTCAATGGACTAACAGTGCAAGGAGCCTGGGTGTCGACTTGGATAATGACTTGAGCTTTTCGAATCAGTGTAGTAAAGTCTATCAAATGTCCATGTTTAATGTCAGAATATAAGTCAATATATTCAAGTCGATATCCTCATATCGATTCTTGCAGCCAAGTATATTATGCATTCTTACCCAAATATAATAAGCTATAAACACCAGAACGCCGGTATGAGGTTTGTGTGCAATTTATCTTATCAAGATCATATTAGTCCTCACCTAAAACGTTTAAAGGAACCAGAGATGCGCGAAAGATTGGAATATTTGTATGTGATGTTATTAAATAAAATATTTAAAAATAAAATCTCCATTTACTTAATAAAATTAATTATTAATAGATCTCAAATTCATAGTGTCAACATCAGAGTTAATTATTTTACAGTCCCTCAGCACACTACATCAAAATACAAAGATGGTTTTTCCTATATGGCTCCTATCTTATTAAATAAATTTATAGATGACTTGAATTTGCCTTATACACAGTTACAGTTTAAAAGTAATGTACGATCTAAAATTGGGATGTCACCATATTTCAATTAATACCTTAGGTTTAGAATCCTAGTTTTAGTTTAATTTTTTTTTAATGTAATATCTAGGTAAAGTCTAGGAAACATGTTTTTTATTAAATTTCATAAGGTGGAGTGGAAGAATGGGTAACACCAAATCTCCAACCTTTTTGTGGATTATGGATAATTATTGTCTTCAATTTGTTATATGTTTGTACTTTTTTACATTTGCACAATAAACATTATTTATTATTTCTATTATTATTATAATATTTGAGACTAAAAAGTCAAACAATTTAGCTACAAATTGCTTAAAAAATCATCAAAATCTACCAACTAGAATAAAATATATTAAACTTTAAAGACATCAAAATAGTTTAATGTGTCCGTTTTTCGTGCCGGTGAGTGTATATATGTATACAGGTTGTTAATTTGTTTATTACTCGCGGCAAGAGCTTTATGGTTGAAACATGGCAACCTCGCCCCGCTCGTCGATAGACGACGCGACGGGACGAGTCGGCAGAAAACCCTATAAGCGCATGCGTTCTCACACAAATAGATAATTTGTGTATTCGACAGCCGTCTTTGATGCTGTTTTTTGTTTTATTCATATGGTATTATTTGAATAAAACTTTCTAGAAGATTGATTTAATATAAAAAGCATAATTTTTTTGGCATATAAAGTGATTCTAATGAAACTTGATTTAAGATTTTATTACTAGGAATATTGCTGGAGATGACTAGCTCGAGGTTAGGTTTATTTTTTTATCATTATTCTTATTGAAAATATTGTAATATAACAATATTCCCAATAAGAATAATGATTAGAACATAAAAAGTAATTCTCCAGTTAGTGTTCCATTTTATGGTATCTATAAACTATATGGCTGTAATTCCATTTCTTTCCACTATTAGTAATTTTATTAGCAAATCTATAAAAGTAAGATAAATGGAAGATCTATAAAATTCATTCAATGTTTACATGTATAATGTTATTACAATTGCTTACAAATTTAATTAGATTAAATACAGAATAATATATATTTTTGAAAAAATTTCTTGTTTTTTACAAATAATATAATAAAAATTACAATGGCTTGTTCTGTTGTTCTGAGAATGTAACTACGTTAGCAACGAAGATGTTAGAAATAAAATTGAAATTGTTTACTAGTCTATATAGCAAATTAGGAAATAAATTACTCTTTGCAAGAATTCCTTAGGTAGGTTGCGATAGCAAACGCAGATATCTAAAATTATTTTGCATGTATATTACACTTGTATTGAAACATGAATCATTTTTTCATAAATAATCTACAGGAATTAAAACAAATGATTTGCTGCTGTGGGTTTCAAATGATCTCCCAACAAGTAAGATGCTGCGCTGCTTGAGCCTAAAAGTGACGTAAATGGAGATGATAGCGCAGCTGCAGCAGCTGCGTGGTGAGACTGGAGATGACTAGGCTGAGAGGACAAAACTTTGTTGGCTTGTTGCACTAGAAGAGCGGTGTTGCATGATTGGGGGCTCATCGATGACCATTTGTTGTTATTCGATATGGAGTCGTCTGAGAGTTTTCCTAAAAAAAGAAAAAGTTTTAAATGGAATCTAGATTGTTTATAATTGTTTATTATTATTATTATTAAACCAGAACAACTTCTTCAAAAAGAAGAGAACTAACTCAAATCAGGTCTTGTAATGCCCATAGCAATGTTAATGTATACAGTAGTAATATTATAGGCTACTACCAATAAAAATATTAAATCATAATATACATATATTTGATATCAATTAAACTTTTAGTTACGCAATCGAGTGCGCGATTTTTAAATTCATTGTTGCCAACCATGGACATATTCGGCGCCGGGTTAACTAACTGGAATTTAAACCTCCCGCTGGTGATTCAGGTGGTAGCTCTGCTGTAATAAATGTCAAGTTGCCACATTTATTTATTTATTTCCTGACATTGTTATTAGTTTTGACACTTTAGTACATTACGAGTATTTTAAGTAAAAGTAGTAAGATTTTAAGTAAGATTTTTTGAATTGTCAAGTATTTCAAAAAAATAAAAATATTTTATTACAGATGTTTAAAACTTGTATAGTAGATCTGTTTCTCTAATATACAGGGTGGTCCGAACTGTATTCCGGAAACTTCGACAGCATATTTTGCGGATAAAAATAAGTAAAAAAGTTAATTCGTATAAATGTATGTCCTAAAATGCTTATTTTCATTCAACTCAGTTAACAGCGAGAACCAAAAAGTTAAGAGGCAACAAAGCAATGCGATTTTTGAATGTCCGGAGTGCGGTAGACAAATAACATCACGTATTGGGCTTTTCAGTCACAGAAAGGCTCATGAAAGAAAACGCCTTGCGTGACCATCTTCTGATGCGTGTCAAATACTCGTCAGCGAGTAATGGCAGTATGTATATGTATATGTATAGTTTCATTAGGTGTAGAAGTTTCATTTTTATTTCAATTTTTACCAAATAATATCTGAAGTAACGTCAATATATGGAGGAAAATTGGTGTCTGGGAGTTTTTTGACACGAGAAATTTGATTTTGATGTCAAAACTCCTAATTGTAGAGAGCGCCACCTACATGGGTTTTAACTCTTTTGAAGAGTATTAACTTTTCGTGCGTACCTGTATAAAACTACTGTGTGAAAAAATATAAAAAACTTACTCTTGGTAAAAATCTCTGGGAGCAAGCGTTCCCTAGATATTTAGAATAGAACCATAGATAAAAGAAAATAATCTACTATTAAGAAATAGAACTAGTAAATACATGTCATTATTGACAAAAAATAAACACATTGAGTAGATAGTTATTTGACTGAAATAATAAATTTGGGAAATTTTTTTTTTTTTAATTAGTCATAACTTTTTCTGCGAAGAAATGATGATAAAACAGTTTCTGTTAAACTTTAGTTATTATAAATATATATTTTTTTACTCTGTAGTTTTATACAGGTACGGATGAAAAGTTATTACTCCTCAAACCAGTTAAAAATATGTAGGTGGCGCCCTCTATAAGTAGGAATGATATTGACACCAAAATCAAATTTCTCATGTTGAAAAACTCCCAGATACCAATTTTCATCCAAATATTTACATTACTTACATATTTACAATTATTTGGAAAAAAATCGAAATAAAAATGAAACTTCTACGCCCTGTATCTCCGAAACCAAGCATTTTAGGACATACATTTATACGAACTTTTTTACCTATTTTAATCTGCAGAATATGTTGCCAAAGTTTCCGGAATACAGTTTGGACTACCCTGTATATTTTGATAAATATGATTCCTTTGTTTATACCCTAAAAGGGTATGGTCCAAAACTATTTACACAGCAAATTATGTGAACACCAACCATTTATTCAGTATCTTTCTTAATTTCTCTGTCGATAGAAATTTTTTTGAATGAAGTAAAATTAGCTCATCGTTTACATGTTGGTGGAATTCATCGTTTATAGTAAAATTCAGGATTTATGTTGAGACTGAATAGTTTACTCTTTAAATCATCATTAAATTTCTTTCTAGTGATGTACCAGCATCAACTGCGCTTCTGAATCTTATTTTCAAATGTCAGTATCACATTAAGATAAATGTTGGCCCGATATCTCTCCAAAGTTGTCTTCATATATAACTTATTTTGTATTGTTTACCATGCTTTGACGCACGAGCTAGCGAGAAAAAACGTGGTAAGAATCGGGCAAACACCAAAAAACATTTGATTTAAAGCTAAGAAAAGCATTATAACTTGATAATGTGCCTGTGTATCACTATCCTCTGGTTGTGTGCTAGGAAGTAAATTTTTATGCATATTTTCATCGATAGGTTTTTAGCTTCCGAATCACGGTCTAGGTAAAGCATTTAGCTTATTTGCTAGCCCAGAATTATAATTATTAGAGTTAAGCAACTCGCATTTTTATTGGAGGACATCGTCATATTTATTTCAAATCAATAACACACACAACAAGAAAGGTGGTATATGCTTTTTACCATACCATCATATTATATAGTATTTTTCGACGCTGATCACGAATCCGCTATCAGAATTACGCCATCACGTCTCATTTTTTTCTAACCTCAAAATTTTTATGAAAATCCGGGAAAATTCAGGAAAATGTGGTAGGAAAAAATAAAAATAAATTCTTACTTAAAACTCCAAAGTTGTCTCCATATATTACTTACTTTGTATTGGTAACATAAATTGCGTGTTTTTACAAACAAAATACATTTTTTAATTTAATTTTTTGATCTATAAACACCATATTATTATATTAAGGTAATGGATTTAGTTCTAAAATATTGTGTCCTTATTATTTACTAATACTATTAAAAAAATAAAATGAAATACCATACATTCAGAAATGTGTACTTATACATTTAAATTCGTTTTCAAATTATTTATTTGAAAATAAAAAAAACATTCATTAACGTTAAGTTCTTAAAAATCAAGGTTATAAATAAATCGCTGGTAACAAGCATCGAGACCGCAATACGTGGCAATACATCATAACATTTTCTGACCGAAAATCGAAAGGGACAATATTATTTTTATATTGGCGTGATATAAAGTGTGCGCGAGCATCTGGCAGACTTCAAAAGGTTCCATGTGTGTTATTCATTTTTGTTAGGATAGCCGTCCTTAGGGATTGCTCAGGATTGGATCTAGGGCAGTTTGCTGCTAGAAAATTTATAGAATTTTGATCCTTGAGATTTGAAAAAAATGCTTGTTTAAAAGTGATAGACAATGTTTTATTTAAAATAAATCTGTTATGTCGAGTGGTAATGTCTTTATGATTTAATCAACTATGACGTTTCGGAGAATCTTTGTTATCAAATAGACAAGATATCAAGTAGATTTTTATTTGAGCTTCTCGGTACAACAGTTTTACCAAAGAATGCAATAAGATACCTTGGAGTTTGGCTTAATTCAAAGCTCACATTTCGGCGAGCATATAAATCAAGTTATACGAAAGGCGGAAAGAACTTTGACCGCACTGGGTAGGCTGATATCTAATGCCGCAACCGCACATGCGGCATTTTGCGATCTCCGATCGGGGCTTCGCCTATTTCTTATGTGTTTGGATGGGAAAGTCAGAGTTCGGCGACTCGATCGGCGACGAGAACGAGCGCTCGTCTCTATGTTGTGTTGTAGGAGGGCCACTTGCTTCCAAACGTAGAATCCTAGCCTGTGTAGCACACTCTCAACTGTTATATGTCGCACCAGTATGGCACCTCGCAATATCAGAGGAATATATAAGGCAAAAACGTAAAGCTATACACCGTAAATTGAACCTCAAGATCTGCAGTGCATATAGAACCGTCTCCGCTGAAGCATTAAATGTAATATCCGGGGTGCCGCCTATTCACCTACTTGTGGAGGAGAGAAGGAAGAGATTCTAAGAGACATCAACAACTGGAGGCAAGAAGCATACTGATGAATGAATGGCAAAAGGAGTGGGATCTAGATAGATATGGTAGATAGACACATGATCTCATACCAGACATTAATACCTGGTTAAACAGAAGTTTTGAGAGACGGACTATTTCCTAACTCAGGTATTGACAGGGCGCGGATGCTTTAACATATACATATACATATACTATAGGTTTTAACAACTATTTGTATAAAAGGAAGAAATCCACTTCAAATTTGTGTGTGTATTGCAAGGAAGTTGACAGTGTCGAACGCACACTAGTCCTCTGCAATGAATGGAAGCAGTTTAGAGAGTCATTCCAACGGGACAGTGGTGGACAAGCCTTTAATGCTAAAAATACGATGCAAGGGCTGCTAAGCGGTGAAACATCATGGAAAATTACATATAGATGCATTCGAGAAATAATACAAACCATAGGAAATAGAATGCGGGGCATAACCGCTGAAGTAATGCGCAAGCGGTTTCCAGCTGGATAGAGCGTTGGAATGCGAGGATTTTTTAGTCGATAAAAATAATCAAGTATATTGTATTTATTCTACCATTGAAAAGTCATTCACCTGAGATACACACAAGGACTCCTGGGCTGGAACTCTGTAACTAAATAGCGATCGGTAGCGATAAACAATACTGACCTTGGTCGTACAAACTAAACGGCAAGCGACAGTGTTCTTCATCGCTACCGATCGCTATTTAGTTACAGAGTTCCACCCCTGCATTCATTATCTTTAAAACAGCTTTAAAAGTCGTTGATACTTTAATGTTAAGTTGGCTGACAACATTATCATTTTTGTGAATTTTCATTTTTCTGATGCGGTCCCCTGTGGACAACTCTATCTTTTAACTGAATTTAGTGCTGATAAGCTTATGAAGTTATATGCGGTTTACTTAATTACTCACCCAACCGCCTAGGTAAAAGCAAATAAATAAGAATTCATGATGATATTTTTATGTTGTGCGATCAAATATTAATCTAGCATGAAAACTAGGATAAATTTCACGTACTAAAAATAGTAGATAAGTTTTTTCCTTGTAGAGGCTGAACCCACTATCCAGAACTCACGAGTCGTCACTGATAATAACTAACATGGTATATGTATGTCTTAACTTTCTTTTGCAGAAAGCC